GGGGGGGGGGGGAGGAACAAGATACCTGGAGGAACTACAGAAAGCCATGGCTTGCTCGCCAAAACAAAGGGACAGCTTTTCCAATTCACTCAGGTATTGATTTCCGGCCCCCACATATTTATTCCCCGAGATGCCCCGTTATTTTGAATGTGAGAAGTTGCCCAAGAATAGAATTTAAACAGGCCTTACAGCTTGTGAGATGTCAAGTACAGTGTTAAGAGTAATAAAATATATAGCCATATTTGTATCCATTCCATAGCTATAACTGAATCACAGGTTGCCACAATACTCTTGTTTTTTGAGGTATTTTTTCTATGTATTGTGATAACAACAAGCTTATTATATGACAAAACCCTGGCTTCTATACACGTTTATACGACGTTTTGTGAGTATGAGAGAGAAAGAGATGGGAAATAAATAGCACCGAAAGAGTATTTCGTAAAACCTCCAGACGCGTCTACTCACCGAGAGTACTACTATACAAAAAAAAGCCACCATCAAGTTGCGAAATGAAGCGGGCATTTTAGACTAACAGGTTGGCTTAGCAAATTCTCCGGTGGCCCAGATCCTGGCTCCCTCCTCCCCACCCATTTCTCCCTCTTCCCAACAGCTGAGACCACATGCTCAGCCCTGACTGACATGGACCGAAGAGACACATCAGTTCATCCCAAGATGTCAAGATGCTCCCAATGGGGCTTCTTGGCAGCTAAGGAAAACAGGACAGCAGCCTACTGCTGTTGACGGGGAAAGCAAGCAAGCAAGCAAGCAAGCAAGCAAGATCGTACAACAACTACACTGCTTTTACAAATAGCTGCTCTGTCTCGGAGTGACCTCAGAACTTCCAATTCAGCACCTCTTTTTTTTGCTTCTTTTTTGCATAATAAATAGTTACCAACACGCAGGGCGATGAGACTGTTGCACCATGAGCGCTTACCAAATTGGCACAAGTGTCAGCTCTTCAGTACAGTTTGCTGCTTGTTATTCCTCATTACTGGAAAAAGGCATGTCCCCTTTTTACTCATTTGTGTCCAGTTTTTCATAGCTTGGTCCCCACAGGCTTTTTCGACAGGCGAAAGGAAGAGCTGGCAGGGCAACTGGAATGAGTAAAAAGACAGGCCTCTCTGTTTCAGATCCTGAGCTACCCAGTTTCACTGAAAACAAGCTGAGGATCTCCAGCCTTGAGACACAGAGGTGACTTTTCCAGGGGAGGCCACCTTCCGTTGAATCGACACACCTGGAACAGAGCTCAGAATGATGATGTTACCCCTTTGAGACCCAAAGCATAAATTTTCGAAACTACATTTAAAAGGCTGAAAAGCTTCTACTCTCCATTGCTGGTCTCTTGTTGCACATACACAAACAATAGCACTTCAGCGAGATGGGATCTGGCACATCATCATCATCATCATCATCGTAGTAGTAGTAGTAGTAATAGTAGTAGTAATACTAGTAGTAAATACGTTTAAAGAGCCCACCAAGATAGCACCATTTCATTAGAAGATTTCAATGGCTAAAAATGTCTCCTGGGCTTTATTTTTAAAAAAATCTCATTTTTCGACTGGAGCACCTCAAAAGGATTTGTCCACTCCCTCTCTTAGCTTGTCTGTTTCCAAAATTTTAAAAAGGAGAGGGCTTTGTAAACGTGCTCTAGTGCAGTGATCTTATGCCGCCTTCTCAAAGCTCCCAACCAGACACTAATCACAGAGGAGTATTGCTGAAGGCTACACAACACTCCAGACACAGAAGGAAGCATATCAAAAGCAACTGCAAACCATTTATTGAACTATTTAACTTAGTCTCCTGTTCCCCCGAGTTGCTTCAAGAGCCCCTATTTTGCTCCCTCCGTTGTCCTGCTCTTGCATATTTTACTCACAAACAACAATTAACCTGATCGGCTTGGGCTCTCCTTGGTGGATGCAAGAGATTAAGTGCCCCAAAGCCGTTGGCCATATGCTCCAGGGTCATGTAGCCCAGCAAAGCACCACAGCAGAGAAGGAAGGGTTAAAGGAGGAGCCTAGGGCCCCCCACCCACCCAGCCCTTCCTGCCCAGACGGGAAAGGGGGAGCTGGCCACAACCAGAAACGGCAGCAGAATCAGACTCTTGGTCAAGATTTTTCCAGAGATTATGGATTGGTTATTTTAGCACCACATGTTTTGTTTGATGGTTGTTGATTTGTAGCTTCAAATCATTTGCCCCCAAAACACACACACACAAACCAAAAAGCAGCTATAATAAGCAATTCCTGACTATTGATCCATCAAGGCTGATTTGCCTTTGACTCCAAAACAAACAGTTGGAGCAAACACAAAACCCTCCTTTTTGGCAGACAGCAACACAACGTTCAGAGCCCTGGAGGTGTTCTTTCCTGCATGCCATCACCACAATATTCAGTGGGGTATTTAAGCACCAGTCAGAAGTGGAAAAGTGGGCAGTAGCACAGTCACCATCTCCAAGGGCGAGCACGGTTAAGTCAAGACCCCCAACAGGGAAACGCAATGGCTGGGGAGCCCGGCAAACACCAGCCCACTGGCTGGAGGAGGTCTGGGATGACACAAAGGAGGAGCCCTTAGGAGACGGGGTCCTGATGCCTCTGGAAAAGGCACCCTCTTTGGCATCACACCCTTGTTTCCTTCACACTCGCCTGCCACAGCACAGCAGCCGAAACGGCCTGGGTGCAAGCAGAAAACGGGCCGTGCCAAAGAAGAACTTAAAACAGACTTTCAGCAGCCAAGCCGGAACAGATTACCTGTGCAAATTTCCCACCTAAGCCTGCCCCGTGCTGTGTTTTGTTTTCCTCCCCACAACTGAGATTCGAGGTAGGTTACAGATGTAGTATGAAGCCATCCCAGACCACAGCCTGCTGGTTCTACATTGAAACCGCAACAGAGCAGGGCTCATGCCAGGATCGTGCGGCTGCTTTTGGCAGGCTTATTTTAAATTAAGCACGTCCCGATCCATATCTGGGGGGGAAGTAGGGTTGGGGTGTCTGTCTCTCTGTATAACCCACTCATTACAGAAACTGGGCGATGCACATTGATAGCATTCACATAGTGTTGCTATAGATTTAATACTGGTATTGCCAAGGTCAGGAGCCTGCAGGACTGCTCTGCATCTATGCCCACCCATCACATTGGCAAATCTGGGAGTGATTAGATGGAGAACAAGATCATTCCTGGGCCAAAGCTCTTAAAACAGCCCATCTCAGGTGGGAATAAATAGGAATGTGGAAGGAGATGTTTTCATTTCAATATAGGCATCTGATTCCAGGTTAAATTAGTCTGGACTTGCACCAGCACGAAGGGAGTAAGGTCCTGAATTATCAGTATAACTGAAACAATGAAAGGATTCAGCCTCTTAATTACCCCTCTCCTTTTCTCTATTCCCACTGTGGAAAGCAATAGAAAGAGACCTGAACTAAATATGGAAATGATCACGAGTCCTGATAGGTTGCCACCTTCTGACTCTGAGACAGCTCCTGGGCTCTTAACAGTCCCAGAATCAGAAATGTGACTTTGCTTCCAGTAGGAAAGGACTCCTCTTCCACAGGCCACCCTTTCCCAGTCGGAAAGTGTTTCATGAACCCCAGGCCCGTAACATGTCCTGATCACAGAACAAAAGCCCTAAACAGAAACTCAAGATCTGGTAAGGTTTCAGCAGGTTGAACATACTGTCCCTCCCCTCCTACATCTATTACAATTTCTTGCTTTTCTAACCTCATCTAAATAAAGCCTTCAAGACACGTTCTTCGAAATCTGCCCAAAGAAACTACGGAAGCAAAAAGTAAACTAAACTATTTGGGTGGGGGGGAGATTTAGGGCCAAGACTTCCCCATAACTACAGCTGGCTAAGGGGGGGGGGGTCAACCTGCCCAGACTAAGCAGCCACTAGTTTGGCTTCTAAAGGACAAGAAGCTGGATCGTATGGCGATGGAAGTGAGTGAGGGGTGCCCTCTGTGTTCACCAAGAGACCTCAAACAATAGTACCACTGCAGATTGCAAGTAGGGGATCACTTCCCTGACCGGGGGGGGGTGTCCTTTTAAAAAGTCCACCCTCTTTGCATGTAGAAAGGTAGCCCAAGAGGGGGCGGGCAAGCCTCGAAATGTCCCTTCTTGTTGCAAATGTCTACATCCAGCAACCTTTTTAAAAACAAACCAACAAAGAATGGAAAGACTAAACTCAATGTAATTCTCAGCCTTAAGAGATACATGGCAGGCAGGACTGTAGCATACAATTTTGCTCAGCATGCAATTTGGCCCCATGGAAGGGAATGGTTGATTTACATCAGTGAAGGAGCAGGCCCTGATTGGGGGGGTAGATGCCATGATCACCCTCTGATGCTCAGAAGGTTTCCTATCAATCTGACTTTTGGAGTCAGCAATGGTGGTATGCTGATGGGTGCATATACAAAACCAGTTAGGTTTTGTTGATCTTCCTTTCAAAATATAAACAATTTTACAGAATACAATAAACAAAGAAACAAAAATTAAGGACGGAAAAGCATGTTAAATATCTATTTACATTTTTCCTGCAATAATTTGTTTTAAAACATACTGCTCTTCAAGTTATTGGGTAATTTTTCTTCTTCTTTTAAATCTTGGTGAAAGTGCTTTTTTTCTTTTTTAAAAAAATCTTTCTCTATTTACAGTTTTAAAACCAGAACCATGTAAAACGCCCAGGGTGCTGTCTGGATTATCCTGTGTTCCTGTTGCAGTGCATAAGGAGGTACGAGGGCTCCCTAGTAAACACACCTAATTTCAAAACAGGTTTGAATTTGCAAGCTGTTGTTTGTCAAAAGGCACCTGTGCAGTGCAAGAAAGTTGCGGAGGATCCATCCAGACCTCTCACCGGCGGCCCTTTCTGGCCTTCTGCACCTCTAAGAAACCATTCACGCAGGCTTGTTCAAGCCAGAGGGGGGATCTATTCTGCTGAAGGAGTCAGACCTCCCATTTTTCTACAGAAAGACCTGCAGTGTTTTTTTTAAAAAAAACCAACAAAGAACTCTTTCTGACATCCCAAGAGCTGCCACAGCTAAGTTCAAAAACAGCACCCTTTGCAGGGTGTGGAAATCTGTCAAAGGTGCTACCTATCAAAAGCAACTGCCTACCCACATTTTCAATCAATACTCAGGCAGCCTAAAACCTCCCCTCCCCCGCCTCACGGCCTTTTCTCATCAAGATCCACAACCAATATGAAGCCGGAAAGATTTCCCCCACCCCACCCCAATGGCCGTTGGTACAGTTTTAAGTGTTAGGAGGAGGCTGAACTGAACAGAATTCCCTTTGCATTTAAGGAGAGCTTCCTTGGGGTATCTCATCCACCCCAGCCTTCTATCAAGGGGAAACCTGGCTTCAGAAGGGCTTCTCCACAGGTGTGGATCTGTCTTCTCAAATGCAGAAGTCCGGCCACCGGGCCTTTTCCTAATTCATTCTGCTCTTCACCAGGCAGCTTGCATGATGGGTTGCAAAAGGTAGTTTTAAAAAGTTGTGGTCTTTTGTCACCACCTAAGTTTGATTTCCCTCTTTTAAAAAAAACAGCACCAGAAAAGTTCTATCTTGCTTAAAATAGGCTGATTATTTTTGCATTGCAAAGGCCCAGGGCCGGCTGGGGTGGGAGTGGACACTTCCCCTGGGGAAGCACGCGCCGGCGGGACGTGGGGAGCAACTAAGCCCTTCCCTTTTCTTGGGACTCTGCAAAAGAGGCGGTTAAAAAGAAGACTACATACTTGCACTCCAGAGGCTTTATGTTTCTTGACATATAGTAGCTCAACCTGAGATTTTAAAATTTTCTTAGCACTGTTTGTCTTTCACTGCTTTAGGCCAAAGAGGCGCAGACCATCCAAAACGTTTAGCCTTATCATGCCTCTGGCCCAAAGCAACTGCGACAGGTCGGTCTGTCCTGTAAGCCTGAAAGGAGTGTAAAGGCTCCCACCGAAGGCAAAAGGCAGCTGCTCTACTTCTTTTGCTCCCCTAGGACTGCCGGGCGTTGGGGTGATCCTGCACACAGAGGGAAACAGACTCAAGGCCTGCCTATCGGGGGTTCTTTCCTACAGACCTTTTTCTACCTGGGACGCCCTCTCTTTCAAATCGACCCTCCACCCCATTCTGGCTTTTCCACTTTAGTCGCTGAAGCCTTCTTTTTTTCTCGTGTTTTTCTGGCCTCCTTTTGCTGCATGAGCTTGACCAGCTTCAGCCAATTAGTTATCTCAGACCAATGTTGAAATGGTAGAAAGAACTTAAATTTCCCACCTCCTCTTTTTAACTCTGGCTGGTGTCAGGTCCAAAACCTAGCCTTAAAATAGAAATGCAACTGCTTCTGATGCCACGAAGAACGCTGTCGCACTTTCTTTCCTACCAACTTTGAGCAGTGCTTCGAGGTGAATCCAGGGGCTGAGAGCAAAGCTGACTTTCAACAGCTTGCACTGGATGCGTTTTCAGGGGCAGCCCCCACATTGACACATTCAGCATCTGGAGGAGGTCTAGCACAGCTCCAAGATGACACCCCCACACACCCACACCCATTATGTTGGGGGCTGAAATGGGCAGGCAAAGATCACTCTTCTTGCCAACTTTACCCCCAAATCAATCCCTCTCTCCTGTTGGGATTCCCTCCAGACGTAAGAGGCACGTAAGTTATGAGATGCTGCAGGAAGCATTTTAAAAACTAGGCAAGCCCACCTCCCTGTTTCCCTGCAGAGACCTACTGAATCTGTAAGAAACCATCAAGCAGAAAATCATGCACTCTATTTCATTAAAAATAAAATACAGTAAAACTATCCTGGACCGAGAGTAAAAGCTTCTAGGAGGGCTCCAGAATGAGGTTCCTACCAGGCCCACTGAAGTGGATGGTGCAGGTTTTTAAAAAGCTTTAGGGTGGGACAGGTTTTCGTTTTCCTTTGCCACATAATCTGTTTCAGAGCGGTAATCATTTTCATTTAAAATCCAATATACACATATCTTTTAAATGGAATTTAAAATCTCTCCTTTGTGAAAGGACGCTATAAATTTCTCTTGCCGTTACTGTGATGTACAGATTAAAAATGCAGAGATATAAATAGTAGGTTACTGAAAAACATTAACAGCAGTTAAGTTTCTTTAGCTCAGCCTCCACGTGAAGACGTGGAAAGGACACCCTTAGCTCAGCTTTGCATTTCTCTCTGACATGCGCACGGGGGAAAAGCACCACAAATCAGCACTGCGCTCCAGTGCTGCGGACTCTGAGGTAAGATGGCCACAGGGGAGCTCTCTTTGTTGTTGTCGTCGCCGTCATCACCACCACCACCTTCTCATATCCAGCGGCTGTAGGGCCCGGTCACCTTGGTGTAGGCATAGGAGGACACGGTGACGGCCGAATTGGTGGGCAGGGCCAGGGCCTGCCGGGTGGGGACCGAGTCCTTCCTCTCCTTCAGCTGGGGCTCAGCGGCCAGGCCCCCGCCCCACTTCCGCTTCTTTCCGAAGGGCTTGATGTCCTCCTCCTGGAGGCCGAGCCGGGCGGCCTCCTCCTGCCTGGCCCGGGCCCTCTCCGCCAGCTGCTTCATCTTCGCCTCCCAGAGGGCGAGTCCATGATTGGGCTGGTTCAGATTCTTGTGCTGGTAGAAGACCAGGGAGATGCGCGTGGGGTGGCACCGGTTGGGCTTCTTCAGCGGGGTGGTGGCGTGCAGCTCCCGCCGGGCGCACTCGATAAGGATGGAGCCGTGGGCCGGCGCCACGGCCACCCCGCCGATGGTTTTGTCCAGGAAGTTGTGCTCGCTGTCCGACCACTCTTCCTCCTCCTCCTCATCCTCCTCCTCGTCCTCCTGCTGCTGCTGGTCTTCCTCCCCCACCTCCTCCTCCTCCTTGACGCTCTTCTCCGGGATCTCCTCCATGCTGTCGTCCAAACTGAAGGCGTCCCACGGCCTCTCCGGACGGGCTCCTCCCAGCCCCACTGCGTTCCCCTCTGCTTTCAAGGGAGGGAACGGCTTCTCCCCACACAACCCCGAGGCCACCGCCGGCAGCGACCCGTAGGAGGCCCACGGCCTGCTGTGTAATCCCGTGCCCGGCGTCGGGGTCCTCCTCTCCTCCGCTTTGACGGGGGGACCCCAAAGCTCATCGGGAAGCCTCAAGGAACTTCCTTGCGGGGAGCCGAAGCTCAGCTGCCCAAAACTCCAGGGTTTCTCCTGAAGGTCTGGACTGGCCGAGAAGACCAGGGAGCTTTCGTTCCTTTTGCAAGGGCTCCAGGACTTCCCCAGCGCATCGGGGCTGGGTGCCAGGGGCTGCCCTTCGCCAGGAAAGAGGCCCCACTGTTTCTCCATCAGGTGCGACGGCGGCAACCGGGTTGTGGTTGAATGGGAACCCAACAGGCTGGATTTATTCTGTCGGTTTGCACTGAGCGAGCCGACACCGTCACTGGGCGCAAACCCGTTCCAAGAGGCTTCGGCGCTACTAGTCCTGTTGGAAGGGGGCTCGTTCCTGTGGACTTTGTAAGGGCTCCACTGGGGGCCCGGGCCTCCGTTCTGAGAGGGCCAGGGCAACTCCGCTGGGTTCAGGGGAGGGATCTCAGCCCCGTTGACGGCCGCTGCCCTCTGCATCGCCTCCAGGTGGGGCAGGGAGTCCACGGGCTCTTCTTTGATTGTTCGGCTGTGGAGACAGTTTGTGTTTTGTGCAAAGGGCGGGGCCTCCGAGGGGGCGGAGGGGCACCTCTGGAGCAGGGCCGGGCCCTTCCCCGGGTGCCTGTTGGCCCTCTCGTAGGTGCGCTGGTGGTGGTTCTTGCTCTTCACCGCGGAGGGGCTTTTGTCCAATTGCTCGGGGCTCTTGTACGTGTGGCTCAAACTCTCCTGCAGCAGCTGGACGCTGGGCTTCTTCTCGTAGTCGCCGCCGCTCACCCAGGGCGCGCTCCTTCCGTCGTCGTAGTTCAGGAACTGGGAGTGGAACATGTGATTGCTGGAAAATCCGTAGTACCCAAAAGATGGAAGCGAGAACTTGGAATGCAACCCATTCACGGAAGGCAGATTAGGCTGTGCATAGTAGGAATGGTAGGAGTAAACGCTGTTCATGCTGTAGGGGTCCGAGGGCCTGCAGTTGCCAAGGACCGAGTAGCTCTCCACGACGGCATTCCCGCTGTACTTGAACCCGTTGTAAGGGTTCTGAGGCTCCACTTTGAGGGGAGGCTGAGAGAGCCCGTTCTTCAAGGCTGGATCTGGGGGTCCAAAAGGAGAACCCACGTTACTCGTCAGGAACCGCTCAGCTCCCAAGCACAGGCCACCTCGGAAAGGCCGGGCTGCTCCTTCCACTGAGGGCCACGCCGGTCCCAGGAAAAGCTGGATGCCCCTTGCTGGACATCCCGACTACCTTCCACGGGGGGGGGGAGCGGACCCATAAGGCTGCATCAGGCATACGGGGGTCACCCTTCCGCCTGTTTCCATCCTTCAAAGAGGCACATGTGGCCCTCCTCCTTACGCCATGGATCAGAAACCTGCCTATTCTACACTTCTGGTCATCGCAAGGGGCTCCCCTCTAACTCCCACCCAGAGTGGATGGTAAAGGACTTTTACCCGAGGCTACAAAGATCATCCCAAACAGACATATGGCCGTTCCTTTGCAGGAACCTCCCTGCAAGTCCTGTAACAACCACAATAACGCTACTACCCAGCCCCACAAGGAAGGAGAGTAAGTTCTGATGCTTTGCAGAGGCTGCTTTAAAAAGAAAAAGGCGGGGGGGGGGTTGAACGGGAAGGCAGAGGTTGGTGAATGGGCGGAGACCCTTCCTCCCCTGTCTTGTGTTTCTGGCCCGGCTTGAGGACTAGCACCCTCGGTTTGAGGGTCTTGCCCTGGAGAGCAAGGAGGGTCAACTGACCAAAGGCCATCATTCCCAGCCCTGTGAACACCCTGCCCTTCTGTTCTTCACGGAGGTGCCCCCGAAGTGAGCACTTCTAAGGAGGCCCTTCTAAGAGAGGGTCAGTGAGAAAGGCCGGGTGCCGGGACCGCAGTCCGGAGGTCAGATGAGGGTGGACGGACTCTTCCATAAAGCTGCCTAGAGAAGCCGGGGTCTCTCTCACGCATCCCCTAACTATACCTGGGACAATACAATGGGTGAGGAAAAAAAGCCTCAGGATGTTCTCACACAGACCCAGTCTGTCAGGCAGATGGAGCCCAGCTCTGGAGCGTTACCTTCCGTCAAGCAGGAAATGCAGAGACTGAAAGAGCCCGGCCAGGGGGGTCCAGCAGGAACCCAAGAACAAGGCCTGAATCTCTGCCGGGCACTTTCAGGACCCAAACAATACAGAAGGTGTCTATGCAACACTTTGACACTGATCTAACCGGCATGGCTGTATTCTGCGGAGGCCCAGGATCCGTGGCCCCTTGGAGGACTCAAGATCCTCTGCCCGAATGCTCCGGCGCACACTCCATGGAGCCCTAGTGGGGACATCAAAGGGTCTTGCCAAATCCCAGATCTCAGGCTTATCTAAGGGGGTACACCATGGGGGCCCAAAGTGCCATAACTGTGTGACACAGAAGCCTTGTAAAAAGGATGCATGTTGCAGGCAGGGGAGGGAACCCGCCACAAGGCCTTCCATCAACTCCCTGAGCCGGAAGCACAGGCCGGCCTTACCTGCGGCTCCTGAACCGGCCTCTGTGGCGCTCACCTGTGTTCTGCTGGAGAGACGGGATGTCAAGGACTTCCTGCTTGATCTTCTCGGGGCTGATCAACTTTTCCTTCTGCATTTTCTTTTTCTCGGCAGCGGCCTTCCGGGCCTCCAGCTGCCTTTGCCTGCAGGACTTGGCCGGTTCGGGAAGCTTCCTCACCTCCCTTGGAAAAGAGGTCAGCACCTGGATCGCCCCGCTGCCCATCTTGGCCGCCTGGTTCTCTTCACTGCCAAACTCATCTGTGGTGGACATGATGTACAAGGGAAGGACGTGCAGCTGCTCATCCTCAGGGATCTGCCCAGTGGTACGATTGTCTTCTTTCGTCAAGGTGCACACCTGCACGAGACAAACAGGCCGGCCGGAGGGTCACAGCAAGCCCCAGGGAGAGACCCAAGAGCAAGACCCGGGGCAACTCTGGATGGGCCCAGAGCCCCATGGGCCCGTGGCACAATACGGCTCAGAGCGGGCTGCTCTCAGACTGGCACACGGCACTGCCCAAGGAAGGGTGGGCGAGAGAATCCTCCCAGCAGATCCCGAAGGGCTTGTTCTGTCCTGGCCCGCCAAGAGCCCAAAGCCCTGTCCTTTGGGGTGCCTGGCAGGCTCGGAGTGGAGGGGAACAGCTCTGAGTTTTTCTGGGCTCAGGAAATGGATCTGCATTTTCCAGAAGGGAGGAGCTGAGCCCGGCGTCTTTCCAGCTCCCAGAGTGACCCTAACCCCACGGCACCCCTCCCCGGTCAGCCCCACTGGGGCGCCTGCAGGATCTCTCTCGTCCCTCCTCAAGAGACACCTTAGCAAAAGTGGGTCTCTGGCATCCCCTTCTTTCGCCTGCCCACGGTGACTTTTCTAACATCCCGCCGAAGGAGAGGATCAGGGATCTCAAAGGCTGGCCCACTCTGCATCCTTTTTCACAACTATCGCTATCTGGGGATAAAACTAGAAGGATGAGTTGTGAGGACGGGACTAACAAAAAAAGTTCCATTTTACTTGAACAAATAAAAGTCTGATCCATTCACAGCCCGCTTAGTCTTGGCACCAAACTGACACAGCGTGAGACGTCCCTGAATAGAACTACAGGCCTTTTAAAACACCAACGGCCCTGGTCGATGGACAGGGTGATGGAACCACAGGGCTCATGAAGGAGGGAGGGGCTTCCGCCTTTTTCCTCACGCCATTTCCCCAATGACCCCCACCCCCAGGGTTTGGAAGGGCTGGGGGAAAGCTGCCAAGAAGAAGCGCAAACACTACTGCCTAGAAGATTAGATTTAGGGTATTTGGTGTTTTTTCACCAAATTCAGACCCAGAAGCCCTCTGGGGGGGAAGATCACTTTTGTAGGATGCATGCCTTGGAAAAGTTACTTTTTTCAAACCACTGTTTCCAGGAAGATGTTAACCATTGTAGCCACTACAAAGGGGACTCCCCCAAATTCTGGCCAAGGTGTTGAAGCACCATCTTTCTCTGGTGTGGGATGATGATGACTGTGAAAGCTTCTGCCAGGAGAGGTTTTTATTTTAAAGGGGCACCAGATTCCCTGCTCATGTTGCTGCAACATAGCCAAGCGATGCATCCAAAACTAATCAGGAGCGTGCCCAGGAAAGAGGGAGCGAGGCCTCGGCTTACCACCGTGCAGCCGTTGTAAAGGTTGTGTTGGTCCTTGTGGGCGTGGGCACAGAAGTCCATGCAGGCAGTCACCCCAGAGAACGGCCTCCCTTCTTTCAGCCCGAGCCGGCAGTCTATTGCTACATCCTCGTTGGTAACCTAATTTGAAAGAACAGAAGCAACTCGAATTACAGCTGTGCGCGGGACATGACAAACCGCTCCTCACAGAACAAAGGGCAGCCACAGCTAGACTGCCGAGGGTGACCCAGAAACGCGCAGCCACCTCTCCTTGTCCAAGGCAGACAGAGCGGCCCCTCCGTCCTTCAAGAGGAGGCAGAACAGAAGCCGAGGACCCCGGGAGAAGGGGCACAGGGAATCAGTGACAGGATGGCTGGATGTTATGGATGTTATTAAGCAGCACAGTTGCAGGGAGCTCCCCATTTCATCAGAGCACAATGCCCGAAGAGAGGGAACTGAAGTGTGGCACACTTAGGTTTCAGCTTGCACGCTTAGGTTAAAAAAGCACACCCCATCTGCTGCCTTGGGCCCTTGGCCCGGGCAGAAGGTGGAGAGCAAACCGGTCATCAAAGATCTCCCTTAAGGAGGGAGCAGGTGGTGAAGCAGGAGAGGCCCAGGGCCGTGAACACACAGGGGAAGGTCACCCGCAACCCGGCCACTCGGCTGCTTCCTCCTCCACCTCCTGGAAATAAAGCCAAGGTGAAAACAGTGGGAGGGTCATGCCAGGCACCTGATTTTGGTAGGCCTGGGGTGCCAGCCTCCTGTAAAGTGGGGCCACCTCTGTAGCCAGGTCCTGGAAACTCCTCCTCAGAACTTCTTCCTAAAAAGAGAGAGAGAGTCAATACTGGCTGGGGCCCCAAACTCTTTCATGAGAGAGAGAGAGAGAGAGAGAGAATCAGTCAATACTGGCTGGAGCCCCAAACTCTTTCACAGCGGCCCCACACAGCCTCTCAGATTTCCAACAGGTGCCAGACTGGCCCCCTGGAGCTTCTGGCAGGGGTCTCTGATTCTGCATTTCCTCAGGTGTGTAGATTTGTCTTTTTGGACTAAAACACCCGTCATTCTGGGAACTGTAGTCCAGAAACACAGATTGGCATACTTCTATGAAAGACAAATCTACACCACTTAGGCCACTAGGCCTGAGTTTGCAAAAAACGGGCAAGCTCTCCCGGGCCTGGCTCTGCCTCTTACGCCAAGGGAACCCGACCGAGCCCAGGCCCCCCAAAGCCTCCTTCCAAAGGAACGAACTGCGCCAACCGAGATGCAGCAGGTCAGACTCACCTCCCCAGGATTGTCGCCCTGAAGTCGGAATTTCCGGGGCGTTTTGCTGCGGGCATACTTGCACCCGTTGAAGTACATGCTCCAGGAGCAGCCGAAGGAGAAAGAGGCCCCACAGGTGTTCGGGTCCTTCCCTTGACACGCACACGTCCGGCTGCAGCCGAGAAAAAGCCGAGTCCCCCAGTTACCCCCAGTGTCGCCTCGCAGAGCCCCATGGGCTTCTGAAGGAAGGCAGGCCCCCTCCCTCCCCCCACTCCTCAAAAGAGAACAACACACACACAAACACACACACACACACACAACGAGCCCCCGGGCTCAGGCAAAGGAGGTGGGTCCTACAGAGCAGAGCAGAGGAGAGCAAAGAGAGAGGAAACCCAGAGGGGGGAAAAAAGCAGACAAGCTCCTTCGTCAGATGCCTTCCGGACCCCAGGCAAGCGCAGAAGCCGGGATCTCTGCGGGCCGCCGCCGCCGCCGCCAAGCCCCTGGGGCCCAGCTCCGTCCCTTCAGCGCCTTGTGCCCGGCAGCCGGGGAAGGGCTCAAGGCACTTACTCGTCGTTCAGCCCGCACCGCCGGGTGGTGGGGTTTCCGAATTTCGTGAGGGTGTCGGTGAGCTCCTGGTACAGGGTGTCCCCCAGGGTCCGAGGGATGCCCTCCCAGGCCAGGATCAAGATGATGATGACCGCGTTCTGGCAGTGGTGGCCCGCACGATGCCGCACCAGACACAAGAGCTTCTCTTCCACGTTATGCCTTCGGATGACCTGGAAGTGAGCCGAGCGGTTGGT